ACCGTGAGGTCTTCTTATTTCTGCCTCTGGCACGTACGGTTAAATATCGTCGGTTCTATTCTGTAAATGCAATTCCTATTTTGAATAAGCTACCAATGAGTGTGAAAACTCTGCAAAATTATCCTTTATTTAAGAGAATAATTACTCGATTTTGCATTCAGAAATGCTTCCTCAAATTTTGGGTTCTGAATCCACTGATCGACTCTACCGTAGCGATGGCGTTTGTGGTCTCTGAACACTATGGCCGGTCTCACCAGCTGTTCCTCAACGCCTCTACTTTGACTATCCCCAACTTCATGAAAGGAATTGACGTCCGATGATCTCTGATACCGTGCAACCCCCTCCCCGCCCTTCTTGACGGTCGAAAATCATCCGCCAGCAGTTTTTTTTCTCCTGAGCCCTCCAAAGCACAAAAACCATCATCAAGTATATTTTTATCCCTTAAGCTCAGGAGTTTTTTTTCACTGCTGGTCGGATTTGTGTTTAATCTCTTCCCTTGATAATGCCTGTAAACTGGCATTTAATAAATTAAATTAAATTAAATGAAGCCTGTAGGAGCAGGGCTAGCGGATAAGCCATTACAGAAGCCTGCCCAGGATTTCTCCGGAACCTAGAGAAGTTGACTCTTTCAAGTTAAACAACTCCTCCTGAGTTATTTATTCGGTAAAGAGGATTGTTTTGATGGTAGGTATTTCTTCGTCGTTACAAGTGGGTGGGAAAAATTTGGGTTCTCTTGTAAGGACGAACCGGATTAATTGATGGAGATGCGCAGCCCTCTCTTCGGCCTCTGAGATTTTGGCACCTTCGGCAGTTGGCAACAGTGGGAAAGAATCTTTATTCAGTGTATGGCCTCTTTTGCATATCTGTAAGTGACACCGGGATTAACTATGGTGTTGTTCAAGGGGTCCTCTTAGAAAACCCGTCGATCTTTGACGACGAGATTCTGGCCCAGTTTCTCTATAATTTGTAAGTGCTGAGTGAATCAGATGTCTTACTGACTAGGGATATTTTCAACAATTTTCTGTTTTCGTAGACATATTTCCTTAGGGTGGAGTTGGCCAGCGAGGTTGTGTCGTTAGTCTTTTTCGCATGCTTAGGGAGCGACCGGAGAAAGAATGGTGGATTTTCTTTTACGCTTGGCCTCAAACTTCATCGAAAGCGTCGGAAAATTTGAATCTTAGTCAATAAGAAAAAAGTTCTTAATCTATCTGTTTATGATCGACAAAAGGTCTCTGCTAATAAATGGATTGTTTTGTCTAGTAGCACAAGGGGTTTTTCTCATTTCAAGCAAAAAAATGTTCAAAGGAAACTTTAGGACAAGCAGGCAGACACTACAGAGTGTCCAGTTTGTGCTTGTAAAATGGCAGCCTGATATGAAAAGCGGTTAACAACAGACCGAAAAAGGCCAAATGAATTTGATTTTGACGGGTTTTAAGGAAAAAATCGGCCGCACATGGAAGGGTAAATGTATGGGTCGGACAGGACCGTCCTGCATATGATAATATATAAGGGTTCGAAAAGGACATAACCAAGGTAGAATTTCCAAACTGGATGAGGCTGTTCACTGCAGATGAGATCACAATATTTCGTGTTGACAACAGAAGCAACCATCAGGGTGGCGAGACGGGAGGAACCCAAAGGCGATCGGACACAGTTTACTTAGAGTCCAACCGAGGAGGAGGCGTTAAGGGTTACGGCGGCCATCAAAATGTGCGTAGATGCGACCATGACACTTCCTTGCTGACCGACCAAACTACTAACAGATGACGAGAACAGAGGAGCCCGCCATGATCATAAACAGATCGTGTGGGGTCAAAATTAGGAAATGCCGTCAAAAACCGGGAATATCATCGCTGCAGGAGATGAGTAATAACAATAGGTTTATTAGTCAATTAAAAACAGGGGTTTGTAAATTCTAAGTGGGAGTTTAAACGTGAACACCAAATCTCAGGAGGACACTTTCCAAAGCCCAGAATCTGGGTTTTTAGAAATCATGCTGTCAAAAGCCACTTTATGCTACCCGGAGTAAGGTGCTTGCATAATTTATGTTTCGATGCCGATAATTTAGGCGACGGCCTGGGTGTTAGTGGGAGATTATCCCAAAGGAATTCATATATGGAAGCAAAAAAGAGAGAGCGTTTAGATGTAGCGCAAAAGGCGCGGAATTGACACAGAGGAATTACGCGTGGCATAAGAACGATCTACCGGAGTGAGAATGTCAACGCGCGGGGATCCTGATGCCACCTAGTCGTTCTCAGGTACTCTTTTTCACAGCCAGTCGTCGATGTCTGGCACGGGCTTCCCGAGGACGTGGTAATTGTGGATTCCACAGAGGTATTAAAACAAAGACTCGATGTATATTTGTTTGAAAAATACCGCTTATCTGGACAGAACGGCTCTGTTATACCAAACCGATGTCTTGAATACACTTACCGCTAATACGGATGACTTTTATCTCCTTTTACCATCATCCATATTAACTTGGTGGATTGAGTACCCAAAATATTGGGAGTTCTCCTGAATGCATAAACGAGTTGAGGTCCAACGCACATTTTATGAAGACGTATTCTAATATCGCCAACTTCAAAATTTCGTGGGATAACCCAAGTCGTTCTGCCTGCTTTTGAGACAATCAAGTCGCAGTGTTCCCAAAGATCAATACTCCTGGAGTATAATGCAACCAGATCCTTAGTAATAATCAGGCACATTTTTGTCATGACCCTAAATATTTAGTTGGAGTTGGTGGTCATCGTTTACCACTATAACTGAGCATTTAGGCTAAGAAAGGGAAAGGTGGCATGTGCGGCACCGCTGGGCAAAGGCCTGTAGGTCGCTCTTCAGTAGCTCAAGCACGATGTCACGATCTGCTGGCTTATACCTCTAGGCAAATTTCAGATCATCGGCATATGTACTTGAAGGGCTGATCATTCGGAAATAAATCTGGTACATCATCGACAAAAAGGCAAAATAATAGCGGACCAAGTACACTAGGCTGAATGACTGCAATCCTCGTGCATCTGCGATTGCAGACAATATTGGAAATCTTGACCCGTTTTGTGAAAGCGCCCGGGCAAGAGGGCATCAAATTCAGAAATTTACCACCCATTCCGAAAGAGGACGGTTTCATGAGAAGAAAAACATTGTCCACACGATCAAATGCCTTAGTGAAGTCGAAAAAGACTGTTTGAAGTGTGTATGTATGTAGATATTTGAAAGATTAGAGGCAGAGCCCTTGTTGACCCCATTCGTCTACAATACTTTCGCAAATTCGCACTCAAAACAAAGTTACAGGCATTTACAATGTGATGGGGTCACAGTACAATCGTAGTTATAAAGAAGCGCATCTGTTCACTGTAAGTCATTGTGGAAAGATTGTGTATGACAGTGTTTTGCAAGGTTGTCTGTGAGTATTCTTCTTGCAGAGGTTGGTTTCTGTCGAAAACCCAGCAAGCAAGTTTTCTTTTGAGCACGAAAAATGTATTGACCCTCGCGATCTCGCTTGGTAACGAGGTCCATAGTCGGACAACCTGCTAGCTAAATGAACACTTCTTAGGTTCGTGCTGAGTGCGTTCACTCTTGACTTAGGAAGAATGACCGCGTGATTGTCTTGTACTGGCAAACTCACATATTTTCTCCGTTCTTAATGAACAACTCTGGCCGCGGACAGTCCGGAATGTCTAGACTAGACTAGACTGCCTATAAGAGAGAGGGAATAAGCCAATCACACTCAGCCTCTCCTGCTAAGACAAATGCTTTAGACTATCGACCGTGTTTGTTGCCCTGCGTTGATCCTGTTCGAGTAAGTTAATGCCCTTCCTCATCCATAGTGAAGATGCTGACACTCCATGCCAAAGATGGGGTCTTATAAAGACACCAAAAAGTCTTTAGAAGAGTTCGGGAGCGAATATTTTAAATGCACGTCTGATCCAGTATAAAGTAATAGTCGCCTTTGGACCATATTTCTACAGTGTGCTGATGGCATTAGATTTGTGATGTCCATACACCCAGATCTCTGTGTCTTTGCACAGTTTCCAGTGCTGTCCCGTTAAGATAAAACTGCTGTTTAGGAAAGACATTTTGGCTGGAGTTTAGGCGCAAGACCACGCATTTGGACACGTTAAACTTCAAAAGCTATCTGCTCGAGCAAACACACACTTTTCCGATGTTTGACTCCAGTTTCTGTGCGACATCATCGCACTAAACTTCACTTCATATTTACATTTCATCCGCGAACATGAGGGTGTCTCAATCCTGTTTGCTGACGCAGTCATTAACATAAATCTCGCAGAGTACTGAGCCCAAGACAGAACCCTGGGGAAACCACTTTCCACCTTTGCGCACTCCGAGGCGGAGTAACCAACGACGACACTTTGTACTCTGGACGACAGAAAACACCGGATCTATTTAAATATTCTTCCCTGCATTTCTAGATCCCTGATCTTCTCTAAAAGAGGCCTGTGCGTGAAACTGTCAGAAGCCTTCCTGAATTCAAAAATATGAACTCCACTGAATAACCCTTATCGGCAACTCTTATCCATTTCTCATGCGAGAAAAGAACGCTCGTTAGGCAAGAGTGCCCTAGGCGAAAGTCATTTTGGGCATCACACAATATTTTGATTATTTTCGCAGGTTTTGCATCAAATGTCTTTGGATAATGAGTTCCATTATTTTACGCGCGATGCAAGTAAGACTAACGGGACGATATTTCACGCAGGCAAGTCGTGGGCGTCCATTATGGATCGGAGTGAAGAGTGCGCAATTTCTTTCTTCCGAAAGCTCGCCTTTTTCAAATGGCTTTTGAAATATTGCAGAAAATATTTCGCAGGAATTCTGTCTGGGTCAGGAGATTTGGCAGGTTTCAGTCGGAGTAGCTCGGCCCTAACTATGGCCGATGAAAAGAGTGGTTCTTCGGTCAAGGACGGTAGGAAGGACGTAAAAGGGGGAAGAGAAGTAGGAGGAGACGTCTGGTAAGCGGATGGATGGACAAATGTAGAACTTGGTTATCGGGTGAAGACGGAATGGAAGAATTTAGAAAGGAGGGATGCTTTAATCTGGTCATCAGTCTCCACTTTTTCATCTGCAGACCTAAGGGCAGGGCTCAGTTCCTGAGTCCCTTTAATACTTCGTAGATAGCCATAGATAATTTTGGAGGTTCCAAAGAATTTTGTAGTATGTTCAGTTGGAACTATCATTGTCCCTAAAATGGAAAAGACGATCAAATAATGAGAGTTGTCAGGTATCAGAAGAACGACCTCTGAGGAAACTATGTTTAGCAGCATCCAGTAAGTTACTATCCGTCAAGTGACACATCATCATATTTTTGATCAATGTCCCTAAGACTTGCGATTCTGATGGAGTGTGTTTATTAGCCGGAAGTCGTTAAATGACACAGATCGACAGTGTCTGGGGATAGGCAAAATGTGTTATTCCTTCCACAACGAAAGATAAGTTTAACTTTCACGAGCGAGATTAAATATCTCTCACAGAAGCGGCGGGGAAATTACATTTGCGTCCACTTTCAAAACGCTAACTTAGACATAATCAAGTCCCGGACAATGAGACTGACGAAAACGCCGAATCAGTATAGTCACGTCTCAAAAGAGGAAAGTTATGGTTTAGAGAACAGCCCCGGTCCAAGCCTGCATTGCTGGATGGTCCTAAGGAGAAAACCCCTCACGGGAAAGAAAATATATAATTCACAACGATATTGTCTGCCCTCCACCTTGAACCACAAAGGCTGCCAACTTCCACTTATTGCCTCTGATACTGACGCTGAAAATGAACCAACATGATTGCTTGACGAATCCGTGGGATATTTTTTCAGGCGATGAAATTCGACAGAAAACCGAGACAAGCGTGATTTGCATATCAACACAGTTCGAGTAATCTCTCAGCCAACCCGCGGACAACCAAAGCCCTGGAAAACAAAACTTTGAACTATTTAGGATTCGAAGCTATCCAACGCTTTCGAGACCTGCAAACGGCTGAAATGTTTCTGACTAAACTCCATACAATTAGCCCATTTTTAGGCATCGCTGTGCAAATAGGATTATTGTCCATTCGTCGATCTGCAAAAACTCATCATATTTCATCATATGCAGTCTGAAGTATTCGTTAAAATCCCGAAAGCCGAAATATATCTACGCCCTCGTCGTAACGCTTATGCATCGTCAGAGATTTAACAGTAACAGCATGACCAGCCCCGTCATTTTTTAAGGAAAAGCATAGTGATATGACCGTCGCATCCAGCTCTGCGCTTGCCCTGATTACGGTTCTAGCCAAGACCAAGTAAAACACGGCAGAAGAGTAATTGCTGCAAAGAGTGTGGGACAGGAAAATAAGTCTCACGCTGAAGTAAACAGTAAAAGGACCGGAGCGACTTATAGTAGGTTGGCAGGAAGAACTCTTACAAAAAAGAGGAATTAGCGTGAAACGGAACAATGACCAAAACGACTTATTTTATTTTGGCATGAAGCTGTCTGTTCACACATGACTTTGAAGACACGATTGCTGAAAATCGAAAACCCACGCCGATATGGAGGTCTTTTAGTAGAGCGAAGTAGGACCTCTGTTCGAACCTCCGTCTGTTACAGCCTATCACCCCACTGGCATTCATTTTACGCACTTAGTGTTAATGTTATTTTGTCCTCCATCCTTCAGCTGAGTTTCCTCGCATATAATCTTCATTATGTGTTCATTATGCCTATTAAATGATTGTTTTAATAGCAAAGTCAGTATTTGGATGTTTAAAATGGCACTATTATGTACTACAGGTATGATTATATTGTGAACTTTCTTCCTCCGTCCAGAGTTTTGGTAAATATTGATACTTTGCCTTTAAACGCACGTAAATCAAGGACATCCCTCTATCCTAAAAGATATTTAAATGCGAAAAATACTGGTAACCTCGGCATATCGTGTGTTGGGATAAACACATTAAGTACAGCGAATGCTAAGGCGGTCAAAAAACGCTATTATATATTAGTACATCTAGTGCACTGTACAGCTCGTAAGTTTTTACAAAGCTTCATAGTCGACATTCCAAAAGCGGCTTCCGCAGTTTCTGCGATATTTTGTCTTCTTAATACAGCGTCTACATTTGGCCAAAATCTCCATTTCTTCGGTTTAATTCAGCATATGAAGGCGAGATAGGCTTTGAAAACGCTATTTACAGACATAGACTGAAAGAAAAAACGTGCATATGTTTATGTAAATATACGGCTACATTTTATCAGTCCTTATCAAGTAAATATATAACTATCATATAAAAGATTATCCAGTTTTCGTTTATATGCCTGAACACTTCCCACCAGAACAACCGAATTACGCAGTTTGTCCCATTCTTTAATCACCCGGTGAGGGAAGAAGTTAGCGCGTACTTCAAGTTTGGTGTACAGCGTCTTCAATTTATATCGATGACCTCGGGGATTTTTCGTTCGTTAGTCTGTTAATTTAAGTGCACAATTTACTCATCTTACGAGTTTAAAAACCATGATCATGTCTCCCCCTATTGCCTATAAGAGAGGGGAAAAGTCTAAGCCTTTCTAGCCGTTTCTCTCAAGGTAGGCTTTTCAACCCATCGACTAGTTTGGTCCCACTTAGTTGTATCTACTCCAAAGAAGTGTAATCTGGCTTAATTCATGGGCGTCCTGTCTAAATCCATATCCTAAAATCGGCCGGATAAATGTCCCAAACAGTCGACTGAAAGGTTCTTCGTAATGGTTAAGGAAGGATCTCCTGATCGCTCCCAGGATGCCCATAGTTTTCTTTGCTATTTTGACTCGGTGAAAGGAGAGTTTGAAAGTGTATATTATCAGCACAGCTATGTGCTTTACCTCGTCATAAACCTCGAATTCGTGACTTCCGAGGAAATGCTGATATTCAGAGCTCAAACCCTTTCTGTACGTAGACCTTAGTCGGACGAATTGGTGTTTTTTGAAATTGAGGTTGGGAAGCTATTCATCACACCACTGGTAAAGTCGATCATAGTTGTTTTGCAACTTTACGCCTCCTGTGGTTTTTCAATTGAAATCCACATCTTCGAATCATCACCGAACATTACATTCTCACAGGATACGAAATATAGACAACCGTTGACACATACCAAGAACAGGATGGAACACAGGACGCTCCCTGCAGAACCCTGCTGTGAACGGTTTACCACTCCGATTTGGCGTCACCAGTGCGAACACGCTAACGTCGGCCAGTGAACAAGTCGGCCATAAATCATTGTAAACAGTCGACCATTACTTCTATATTGTCGTATTCACAAGAATCCATATGATACATGATTCAATATTATATTGACAGCTTGGATTGTTACTTACCATTGAATGTTTCTCTCTCCTGATATATATTCATCTTTTCCAGCTATTAGTCCAGACAATTATGACAAGCCTCCAGAAAAACACGAAGGAAATGTGCGACCGCCCCTTTACAGCTGGCCAGATAGACTGACAACCACCAACTAGAGCACACCAAAATTTACCCAACTGGAAAATACTTTCAAGGTGAGGTCAATATCCAAGTTCTTCAATTTCCATGAAGAACATATTATTCATGCCCACCCAGAAACTACCAAACTACACACTTCAATTTTTATGTTGTACATATCGTCCTTTCTTAAAACTTTCGTGATTATTTTTCCTTGGAACTCAGGTCTTTTTAACTTAAAACAAACTCTCAATTCGCGCTCTGTTGGCTGAAGAGACACCAAGACAAATACAGTCAAACTGCAGTGGAAATGGATGAGTTTGTTTTAGGTTTTTTCCTGTGTTCAAGGGAGACTGACAGTGCCCAAGGGGCGCTATAATAAACCTAATCTATTTACTTTGATAGATTGCCAAACGCATCTATTTGGAGCAGTAGAGAGATAAGCCGTCTGTGTGGCCCCTTGCCAAAGGCTTTGCTGAAGTCAATGTAGACTGCATCTACTGAGAAAACCAACTGCAAGGATTTCGTCCGGCAGTCCGTTGGTGTGCACGGGCTAGTGAGACAGGACTGACCCCCCTGGATCCATTTTTATGCGTAATAAGCAAGTCATTCTCTTCAATATGTCCGTAATTTGCTTTTTTATTATGTTCTCCATTACGTTGCAACAAGTGCTTGTGAGACTCACTGGTCTGAAGCTTTTAGGCGAGGCTATTTCTACTCATTTGAGTGTGGGGAGAAAACAATTCAAATATATCAAGATACTCTCGAAAATGAGCACCTGCTCGCCCGTTGTTGGCGTCCGTACAGAGTTTTGCTTTTTTGTAATATGCTTTCTCTTTGCGTTCGTGTCCTTTTTGTTTCACCATTCATATTTCGATTCTGCTAGATAGATCTTATGATTCTGCGGTTGGGAAGAAGGAGACACGATCGCTAGGGCAATTACTTCTTTCGCCTGACGTTTCGTATTCCTGCTCGAGCCCATCATCAGAGACAGGAGCAGATACAGATGGTTCATACACGGGGGGCCGCAGTATTTATAGAATGCAGTCGCCATGCTACTGCACACCCATGAAAGTTCACAGCTCCCCCTTCATCAGGGATTGTTGCATTTGGTGTAATGGCTGGTTGAGGGCCGACATTCGCGTCGTTAATTGTTGCAATTTCATCGAAGATATTGGGGGCAGTGTTCATCTGTGCAATCCACGCGTGGCTAACGAGTATGGAAGGGAAGGTCGTCGAACTTGTGAATGGAAAGGAGGCCAGTGAATCGTGACTTAAGCCACTCGCGGCCCACGCGGTCAGCACCTCCAACGAGAACTTCGGCCTCGTAGAATATGAATGTGTGGCCGGATCTCCTCGAATGGGCCTCAACTTGAGATCTGGAGTCATTTCTCCGTACGGCTGCAGCGCGTTCGGCATTCCCGTTTGGAGCTGCCCTCCAGTTTCTCCTACGTAGTTGCTTTGTCCGCAACTGCGCCAGATCCGATAAACGAATCCAGACGTTTTTTGCAGTTGCAGCGGGTCATTAGGTTTCATTACCTGACGCCTGATGGTTGCCTCCGGTCTGTGTACAACTCCAACCCTAAGCAGTGCGAAAAGACGGCTGACAGCCTCCGAAACGTTCTTGACAAACGGAAGCGCTCATCAAAATTTGGGGTCCTTGCAGTTTGGCCTTCCTTCCTTTTTGCGTATGCACCGGTTGACGAAGTTGCGCGGATAGCTATTTGTTTTAAAGACTCGTCGTAGGTATTATATTTCGGTAATCTTGTAGTGTGTTTCGATACGCAGATAGAGAGTCCTTACACAATTGCGTTTGCGGCTGATTGATGGTTGCTGTTGAATCTAGTATTTGCATCGTATTTGTCGCTTTCCTGAACGCTTTAGTCTTTACGCCGCCACAATCTTTGCGGCATACGAGGACATCTAGGAAGGCCAGCTGGTTGTTCTCTCCCTCCTCCATCGAACACCGTATGTCCGGGCAGACCGTAGGGAAACGTTCTTTGGCTGATAGCAACTGATCCAGGTCGATGACGTCAAAGATGCCATCTGTATACGGAGCCCAAAATTTTGGTCTGTGACGTCGGAAGGTCAGCGACTCCAACCGTTGCAGGAAAACCTCGGCGATTAATCCCGAAATCGGCGAACCGATTGGTGTATTCGTCAACTGTTCGTTGATTGTCCCGTCGAACATGAAGTACATCCTGAGACAGAACTTCAGGGGCTGAAGAAATTGGGCGTGTCCAAGACGGTTCGCCGCCTTGTCGTATATTCTTTGTAGGAACATCCCGATTGTTTCGACCAACAGGTCCTTGGAAAGAGAAGTAAAAAAGAACGTAAAATCGAAAGATACAGTGACCTCATTTTGTTGGAGACGCACTCTTTTGAATTTCTACGGAAATTGTGCTGACGAAGAGACGGCGGTGTCTGCCTCCCCGGAACAGCCACTAAACCAGTCCGTACGTTGGAGTATCTTTGAGCTACCCGATGTGTTGGAGAGCAGTGGTCTTTTTGTGCACCTTAGGGAAGCCATAGAATCGGGCCAAAGCCGTATCTAACCGAGGAGCGCTTATTGTCCATTGGCACGATGACAAGATCTTTGTCGACCTTGAGTTCTCTAAGCGCATCACGTTCGACCTTGTAGAGCACTTCTCTCGGCATGGAGGAGAGACAACACTTAGTGTCGGATATGGCCCTTAGTCTCTTCCGTAGCTTCCGTTTGACTAAGTATTGATTCCACTGCTGCAGTCATGTTAACAGGTTTGGTGTCAACCGGGTTGAAAGAAGATTCATGCTGTAGCAACTGCATCTGATCCCTCTCCAGCTTCTTTGACGACAGATTGTGAACATGTTTGTCGTTTCTGGGCGAAGTTAGATTAGACGACTTTCGGAATTTGTTCGCTAGTGATGCGTCCCGTATCACTCTCTGTTCGCGGGCTTTTTCAGCCACCCTCTGCAGGAACAGATTTGTACCGATCACAGTATCCAGTGTTTTCTTGGTCAAACCTCTGACGATACTTACGAACTTTCGCGTGGCAATCTTGGAGGAGCACTCGGATCGTCCATCCACCATGATTAAAAGCTGCTGAAATTGCAGCAATTAACGATGTGTTTTTCGGCTCTCAACCAATCATTACAGCAAGTGCAACAATCCCTGATGTAGGGGGGAGCCGTGAATATGCATGGGCATGCGGTAGCACGACGAATGCCTTCTATAAATACTGCGGCCCCCCTGTGTATGAACAATCTGCATCTGCTACTGTCTCTGATGATGGTTTCGAGCAGGAATACGAAACGTCAGGCGAATAAAGCACTTGTCACAGCGATCGTGTCTCATTCTTCACGACTGCTTACTGTGACTCGTCTCTTCGCTTCTATTCTGCTGCTCTTGGTTGGCTTGGTATTTGACGCCCATTGCTATGTTGGCACGTTTTTGCCAAAAAAGCATGGGATTCACGTATGCATGTATTGAGACCGAAGGCCGAAAATAGTGTGCTTTTCAAATGCTTTTACTAATGATGATGGACTGCGGAAATTCTCAAATGAACGCTAGTTCCGTAAACTTGTGTGATGTCTACGTCTTCTATTTAAGTCTTCGGTTCTTTAAAGAAACATTTTGCTCAAACTCGACAAAATTTGTTGAAGCGAGTACAAGTCCTACCTTTGTTTTTCCTTGTCGGCGACCAGAACTTTTGTAAAGACCATTTATTTAAATTGTCGTGAGCGAGCCGTCGTCTGCACAAAATGCGATCTCGTAAACATTGCGTCCCCCATTATTAAGTTTGGTCTTTAGCATCGCTTAAGAGTCTGAAAAAGCCGACTGCAGCCGATGGGATGGTCCAGAATCCACCACGTTTGTTACATGACGATTTCGCGTTAATATCGCTTTTAGAATATCGTTCGCGGTCTGTGTCCCAGAATCTTCGTTCTCGGAGTTCTCTTGTTGGCAACGGCGAGGAATTATCTACACCATCAAACTTAACTAACAGCCACACAGACGTTTTGAACGATTTTAAAGTCCCTGAAAGCCCGAGTAAGTATTCCACCTGTCTTATTTTTTTCAGTCAGATAAAGCCCAAGTTCTCCGAAGACATATAAAAGCAGAGAGAAAGGCACGGACTAACAATCAACAGACTACTTGATGCCTTTTTGTTATTTTATGCGTTCATTTATCACTGGCCAGTTATGTTCACGCTGGCTGCTCGTTCCTCTAATGCTAAAGTATTAGTCGATTCTGACTAGTATTTAATTTTGGAGGCTAAGCAAGATGTTGACAGAAGGAGGGAAAGCAGAATAGGCCTTCAGATTGTTTGATACCACCTTGCGAAAGTGTTTCTTTCAATAAGTCTAGGGCCGTTCTGTCAAAACTCTTTATTCACGCCTTTGCTCCCCGCCCCTCGGCAGCACTGCCACTGCCGTTCCGCGTCTGTTTATTCGCCAGACGGCACATCTCTCACCTAATCACTGGATCATATTACACTGTCTGCCATTTGTGGATGCGCCGGATGGGCAGCAGCTTGGGCGAGGTGAAATCCATCTTCCCGCCTCGTCAGCAGACTGCACCATATGACATTTACCCTTTTTGTTTCCTCGACGGTTTGCCTATTTAATTCTTTCGTTCCACAGTGCGTCCGATCAGTTACAGACTTACGGGTCCATGCGATTTTTTTCCGTTGTTTGCTCGGTCGTATTATACGCCTGCCTCTGTAATATCCAATCTACTAATCTTTCGACGTGTTCATTCGGTATACGACTGTGAGGTGGGCTTCACTCAGTTATTCGACGCATAACTGTTTTTTTCCAGGTAACCAATTTTCCAAAAATTGGTAGTCAACTGGGCTAATAAATAGACGCCTTAACTTTAAACATCATGACGATGTATCCAAGGCCATCAGCTAACTAACGTTAGCTACGTCTGTTCGTGCCGACCACGCAGTCTGGTTAACTTGTGATATGATCTAATCTGACCCACATTTTGATCCAGCGCATCTGCAATGTGGCTCGTCATTTGGGGTCACAATTACCGCCGTACATGGGAGGAGGTGGTGACATGTCTGGGCTTATGTCTTCACATCGTGTCAGCCACTGCACTCAATCCCCTCATCAGATGGTCGACTGGTGCATACGAGAGGGAAGGGAGTGAGGCCGACACTGAGGAATCCAATCCCACGGCACATCAGTGCATTCCTTGCTATAGTCAATTTGATGCGCTTGTATTTATCACAAGTCAGTAAAAGTTGTGGCTTCGACTGCTACCAACTGATTGGATAACTCTGCCCTTTGCAGAAATAAAGGTTAGACTGCAATGGCTTCGTCATAATGTGGCCTTTATGGCACTTATGCATGCGAGATGATAGTCGCCCGCGTGGAGGCCTGGTAAGTACTGTAGGACCAGGTCGTGCGTTTTATGCGTAGAAGCGCTATTTTGCTTTGCCGACCATTTTGCCTGGGCCCATCTCGGTTGTCTTGACATTGTCTTGTCCTCGGAGCTAAGTGCTCGAGGGGGAGTGTGGTAGATGCATCGTAAGCCCAATAACATTGTATACTAACTCACGCTCAAGTCACCGTCCCTGCGTCCACTCGCGGTGGACATCGTCCGTAACGATGACTGAACTTCATCTGAAACACTCAGAAGACCGAGACTTTTCACTTAAACCCTGCGGATTGTCCTGTCTCTGGTTCACGCTGGATCGCGTCTCGGTCCTCCGTTCGTACCGTTTGTGCGTTGTCATCCGCCTTCTGCCCGACCGACCAGGCAGCTGTTGCCGCTGAACGAGACACTGACACAGAGTGAGTACATGGGTTTGATGGAGCAAGCTTTATAACTGAGTCGTTGCCCGTTTAACCACAGCAAACAACTCGGTTAATATGGAGCTGTTTGTCAAGGTGGCTTACCAGTACGCGCGCAGTTGCTCACATGAGCGCCTGGCTCAGATACTTGTCTCATGTGCCGAACACACCCTCCAAGTCTGGGAATGATGTATTTTCATACCTGTGGCGAGTTGGAAAATTCTGTAGCGTCCACCCCTTTTGTGAATCCCTCACACAGACTTTTTGAGTCTTTTAAATGCTCTAAACTTAGGTCACGTAGTAATGTTTTTGGTCAAACCTTTCCCATAAATCTATAGCTCGCTAGCACTCGCATGGCCTGTATGCATGCAGGGACTCCCACGGAGCTGACCTGTGCGAATGAGTTGAAGGAAAAGATCGGCGCCTATGTCACTAATCCCGGTCAATGTCACGTTTAGACAAGATCGGTCATGTATTTGGAGCGGAATATTGCTATTTTCAGTTACTTTTTGCTCGCAGAGGGCGCACTGATTTTGACGGATACAGACCCAAGTATCTTATTAGACTTTCTATTTCAGCTACCCGACTGTCGAAATTGCGCATCTCTTTGCGATCCAGTGCAAATAAAACAAGAGACACAAGCAATTTGGGTAAGTCTCCTACCAAAGTGGAATTTCTTCTTGCTGCATTTATCGCCTTCACCATACAGGTCAACATGACCATGGATTTGCCCCAAACAACCCTACTTATGCATTAGCCTAACCGTCGCCCGGAGCCGCTTTGTCCTTTTTTGCTCCGCTCCTTATTGGGCATGTCTATTCTGCGCTGACAGTTAGGGGCTTAGCCAGTACAGAGATACTCTTTCCTTTATTTGCCCCTACAAGCTCTAAAAATGATAACTTCAAGCTCACATACAGGTTGCCCTCCTCCTTCCAAGCCGCTGTTTAATGCTTTTTAATATGAGGAATTTCCGGAGATGTTTACATATGGCTTACATCCACCTTTTATTCTTACTGACTTCTCATCTTCAAAGTCGCCTCAGAGGGTAACCGGGCACCGGTAAACGAAATTAAGCAAAAGGACGGACGTTTGCGTTCACCTCTAAATGCCCCATCTCCACGAACACCACGGCGGGCATGCAAGGACGACGCTATGTCGAAGATCCTGTTATGCTTTGAGAAGCTTTCCACCGAATGCGAGGGCCCGACTGTTAGTCGACGCTACACTGTTCAGAGAACTCCTCAAAAACAAGCAACAACCCCACGTGAGTTTCAGTATTTAAAGGTTTTGTCCACAAATCCTCCAACACAATCAGGTAATCTGGGAAATCAGGCAATCTGTTTCAGCCTGCCGGTCTGTTGTTTTATGGATGTTCATCAGTTTGTCAGTTTCACCTGTCTCCCTGTTCCTCGCCACCAAGGATGTTAATATTTGCCAAGTACAGCGTCGTCGTTCGACGAAAGTTCAGCTGCGCAATGTTTGCATATGGTCCCTGTCAGGAGGGGAGTAACCGCAAGAATTCAGATCCATCCCACCAACCTTGCTGCTGACTACGCGGGGCTTCCAGGGGTGTTGGATGTAGAGCGGCCTTCAGCGAAGGTTGTCTACGAAATAGGTAGGCTTTCAGGTTTAAGAAATAAACAGCTGTCGACCAGCACTGCTGTCTTGAGCCACTCAGCAAAAACAAAGACCTCGTTCCGATATCTGAGGGGGCTGACTGTGAGATGGTGGCCGCACTTGGGATCAAATCAACTTGGTATATTAGACCTAGTAGGTACTGGACTCTCGCGTGATGTGTGACGCAGACATCGGTAGCGTGAGTGGTCCTGATCACACTCATATGAGGACTTCTCTGAGCCTCAAGTTAGCTGTTGTCCAAAACCCACAATCCGGGTGAAATTACTGCGCAGATCGTTTCAAGGGTCCCGCTATTGTCATAGGCTTCCGTGGAACTGTCTTCCACCCATCCTACTGCACTGACGCAGGCGCCTTCAATTAAAACCGGGTTCGAACTAAAGCAAACTCAAAAGTACCTATCAGGAGGTACTTATACCGTGACATGTGTCACCACAAAGATTAAATTCTTGACTAACCGACCTCATTTGTTGACAGAAGAAAGGCCACTCCTCTTCGTGACCAAGTCTGTCCAACTACATTAAAGACTGGGGTTCTTCAGCATGGGTTGACAGGCCATTTGACATGAGGCCAATCTGTAAAACAAGCCTCGAGTATATGAGGCTTCTGCCAAAACAGTTAGCTTACACAGAAATAAGCTCAGGAGACGTATACTGACTTAGTATTTGGTCGACTCGGAGCTTCTCTCAGCGGCAAACATCTCTGTAGTTGGCCTAGAATTCAGCTGGTACACTGCGCCCTCACCACTGACTGGCTGAGATGGACGAGTTTTGCTCTGTGCTGGCTGGAAGGCGGAATAATTCGGCTCGACTCCGACTGCTGAGGACGCAGAGTTGGGCAAATCAAGACCTGAGTGGGTATGATGAAAACTGACCTTCACCGCATGTTTGATCCCGTCGTCTCCGGTCTGTGGAGCTGGAGTGTTAAATGACCCAACATTACTGGGAGGATTCCACGTCAGACGGACTGCAGTGGAGAGGACTCGCCGTAGTATAATGAACGTGCAGAACGCGGGGAATGGTGGCCGGAGGACTCTTGCAGTTACATTGAATTCCGATATGAGTGCGATCACCAGGTAAAGAAGCACAACTGACTCAGGCGGAAAAGTCGACTCCGCTATCGACCCTGACATGACGAAATCGCGTTACCGAATGCGGAGATCAGATCTCCTGTCTGCATGACCTCAAACGCTCTAGATCTGAGCACCTTCCGTCACACTCTCCTTCCACTCCCAACAATGTAATTTAATTCCTGTCTTTTAGGAACTCTTCGGAAAGCAAGCCCATAGTAAGTGCCGTGCAAAATGACTGCTTTTGTTTATTCCCATTTTTGCTTCCTTTGTATAATGCATTTAAATCTCGATCATTCCCAGTGCCGACACAAAGTCGCCGTCTGACAGTAATTTCTGTCCTAGCGACGACAGTTTCGCTTCCTCCTCTTATTCGAGTGAATCCTCGTATTCGGAATCTTCTTCAACGTCTTCCTTCTCTGCGGATGATTCTAGTGATGACTGGGCGAAGCGGAAACCACACTCTCGTCGCCCAACGCAACTTAACAAGAAACCTCCAGTAGGCTTTGCGCCCTGATTGTCAAGCCTAATTATGTTCCTGGATGGAAATCATACTCTTTAATAATTAGCGGTCTTTATTTTTAAAACTACAGTTTTCAACTGCTAACGAGGTAACAGTTCCTAAACGGGCCGCCGGGGATACCGTTGACGAGAAATCGATCGCCATCAAGTAAGGTTTTGATCCGCACTATTGTTTTCTTCTGTTTTCCATATTCTCATGCAAATGCCGCTTGCGCTCACGTGTGAGTCAGTAGTGTACTATATCGGCCCAAGAGTAATTCCTTGATCCCGCCTCGTCCATAAAGGCGCCATAGTCTGCCACATTTCCACTCTTTATCGTCATCCACATTTCCTGGTTTCCCATAACCACCCAAAGAAAATCAACCAGTCTCTACTTGACCGATACGAAGTTAGTCCCATAAAAACCTTAGACAATTGCGGCCCGTTCTTCAAGTTTTCTTGCGGTGGTGAGACTTGAAATTTGGCTTAATGCATCCCTTGTATATTGTTCGCCTCTATTCCGTGAAGACTTTCGCAGTTTCTTCTCCCTCTCTTGACTAGAACAACCATAAATCTGGAGCTCAGTTTAAAAATTCGGGGATCCAACGCGGTCAGTCACTTGTGGCCTGATCTTTTACATCTTTTCAAACATTGTGGCAGAAATGGCATCAGAAATCGGGAGACAATGCAGGAAATGGCGTCTCCTTTTGCGTTTTTATGATTAACAGACGCTGGCACAGAAATGGATAACTGACTTTGTGTGACTGATTTCGAACAACCACCTTTTATTCCGTCCTTTTCATGTGGTTTCGGCCAACGGTTGGATTTACCAAATCTAGGATTTGGACCGGAATTCTTTCAGGTTATCCAAAATACGACCTGGACTACTGGTTTGGGCCGTATCGATACTTCTTAGGGAAATTTTGATAAGTATTGACGCTCACCGATTGGCTTGCTTGCACGTCAACAAGTACTGCGATTAATGAGGAATGTGAAAAAATCGAAGAATTCCTACAGATAGTTATGGACACCACTATACCCCAAAAAGTTGTGGATAAAGATACAATCAACTTGCACGAATGGCGTCGGTGAAAGAAGGCGTATGAGCAATTTTGTTGGGCGTCTGCTCATATGCTCTGCTGCCGAACTTTCAGCTGCTTTGCGGTCTCAGATGAACAAAATGCGCATCATCTTCAATCAAGGCAAGTGAATCAAGCCAATCGGAGATCGGTAATGGTAGTATGTCGGTCTAAATCGACGAAGATCATCGTTCCGGTCGTCCTTAGTCTCCTGAGTATCAAAGACAGCCTACTCATGACCCGCGGTTACTGACAAAAGCTTGCGCGCTATCGACCTTATCATCTCCCTTCATATTCCTTATGTTCTCGTGGGTTGCAATACACAACAGCGACCGCTTTTCGGGTCCACTCACCAGTAGGCATACGTGTTATGTACTTTGATTTAGTCTCTTCAGCCTGATTGCGGCCGTTGGCGGTCTTGTCTACACAATCCAAGTCGTCTTATCAGCCTAAGCCTGTCCGTTGGGGGTAATACCCGGTTTCCTCAATGCCATAATATCGAATTGCAGCCGTTTGCTGTTGTTTCTTTTGGAATGTGCAGTAAAAAATGTGTTGCCCGTCATCGCCTGAAACTGACACTCGAGCCAATTTAAACAACCAAGCTTAACTGTCATCTCTTTGCCAACAGACCCCATGTTTCCATTTTTCTTTCAGGCTCCAGAAATCACTCTTTTCGGAATGTCTACCGTGTCGGGAGCGCGAATTCGACGCCGTTTTCGAGTTCCTCATTGAGAGGCTTCAAACGCGCACAGGGGGGTAAGTTCCTCACCGAATTCAGACGTAAAAAGGGTCACCTCGGGGTCGGCCTCGCTTTATTTTCCCGGAAGTCTGAGTCGGGCAACTGGAGATAAGAATATGCCCAGTGGCCAATCTGACCTGAAGCCTCTATTTAACACTTGCCACACGGCTGTTTGTTCCCGTTCGGACCTAATGCAACAGCACAGGAAGTTTTACGGAACAATTTTAGACCATTATTTCTGTAGAGACAACGACTGTTTTTTCCTGGTTGGTTGATCAGGAACGGATTTAAGTTTTTAAACGAAAAAACCACAACAGAACTCCCTCCCTCCATCCGCACCTGTCCTTCTCCCCCTCCTGTCAGTCTCCCCGTCCCCGTCTAATTTTTCTTTTCACTTGCCTCACCGAAGTATGTTTTTTTTAGTTCCTCCTCGAAATTGAGGTGACTAAAAGTCCTGGAAATTCGAATGACTACCCAGGTTTCGAGGTGCTGAAAGCCTTCCACAAACAAAGTTTCCAATGGGGATTAGGACACAAACTTCCTAGCCTGTTGTACAAGTTCTCATCTGACCCGCTTCATTTTTGGCCCCTTTTTTCCCCTTCATCCTATCTTAACTGGACGTGATTGATGCTTTTCAAGCCTCCGTGACATACCATCACGTCAGTTTATAATTGTGCGACTTGACATGTCCAAGGTCCACGTAAGGTAGTCTAGCACTTCCTTATCTCTCGGGAGGACTGCTTTCCATCAATCCAACGTCTGTGGGTTCAGGCTGATAAGCCTGGCTGATTGGGATATGTTACGCGAGCCCTGTCCCAACGGCTGCGGGGATAGCTGGGACACTTTTTTCCACCTGTATGCCGCTACAAGCATACCGTCTATTGAGTGACGCTTGAGGAAGTTAAATTCTGATTGACCGAAATCAGTTCGAAGAGCGATCCTCATTTTTATGGTTTTTATGTTCCTGACCGCCTCTGACGTTCTCACCATCATCCTTGACATATGTCTATAGTGTATTTTGGAAATTATCCTCTGTTTCTCCCTCACCGATCGTCCGCTGTCGTTCTTCTCATCCATCTTGTTCAGTTTCTCTGGAGATAATGCACCCGAGAATCCAACTTTTCTCGGCTTATATTTGTCGTCTTCGTAATTTCGGTTACCGCCAAAGACTATGTTGAAAATTCCTGGTTCCTGTTCACCTAACGATGCTCGTTGGACCATATTGAAGTCTTTACGGTACTTCTGACTCCTGACTGGGAGGATCTTCCTCCTGCTATTCTTTCCTACCGTCAGCTTCATCTGCTGGCCGCTTGGCGGACTTGAAGCTCATTCAAGTTTCTTACCTATTGGAGCTGTAATTCTGAGCCTCAGAAGCAACTTATCGTCGGAAGGGGGAGGAATACACTATCCAGAAGGGATCCTCACTAAGATGTGATTCAAAGTGAATGTAATGGATTGCGAATTTATATGCAACTCCAACTCGCCTTCTGCTAGAGCGAAGTATAAGGACCCTTCAAAAAACCATATGCGTCTCAACTGCAATTGCACGAATAGTTCTGGTGCAGCAATTCGAACCGCCAACTGAAAAGATAGCTGTAATGTAGTAGTGGATCACAAGACGGTATTGTTATACTTCACTCCCACGGGAGTAGACAAGTGGACTTGACATAGCATTCCAAAGTATCGTCTAAAATAAGCCCAGTATCAAGGCGGATGTTCACATCCCAGGTGCATGTAAAAGTGGGGAAGAAGAGGAAGATGATTCTAGGCTCAAGACTACACATTTGGACTAAACACTAGAAGCCACTTGCCGGATCATGTAGCCCACTTGTCAACATCTTCCTGTAGTTTCTGCGAGTCGTCAACACAGTTGATTGTCTTCCAGATCCTTATGTCATCTGCAAACATGATGGCATCACATTCAATTTTTTCAGTACAGTCGTTTATATACATGACGAAGAAGAGAGGACCCAAGACTGAACCCTGCTGAACTCCGTCTTTACTGGCACCCATTCGAGTGTAGTAGTTCCAAAAATTACTCTTTGGAGCCTACATAACAGGAAACTTTTAATCCACTTAAAAATTTTGCCCTGTATTCCACACTTCCAATTCTTCTATAGGAGTCATCCATGAAGAACGCCATAAAACGCCTTCTTAAAGTCAAAGAAAATGACATCCACTGCACGGCCCCGTCTATAGCCCTTGTCCATCTTTCCCGCGAGTAAAGACTACTTGTCGGACGTGAGTGACAATGACGAAATCCTCGCTGAGCAGCCCACAGTGGGTCCCTCTGCTCCAGATACGTCAGTAAATGTTCCCTAATAAGTCGCTCAATGACCTTGAACAGAATGCAGGTTAAACTGACGGGACGGCAATTTTCGGGCTCCCGCCTGTATCCTTCTTTGTAGATTGGAGAAATAAGGGCCGTTTTCCATTCCTCCGGCATTTTGCCTTCTTCCATGGACTTCAGAAATATCATGGACGCCGGCTCACACAGTACATCAGCCAATTCTCGAAGGACCAGTGAATGAATTCTATCTGTACCAGGTGATTTGGTAGGCTTCAGCCGGCTCAATTCGGTCCGTATCAACGTGGATGAGAAGTAAAGATTTCCCTCTAATGCAGGAAATGAAGGATTTTGTTGTTGGCCTGGGTGAGGCATAGGAGGAGGATTTGTGTCATGAGCGAATATCGACTGAAAGAAACTGGAGAAAACTGATGCTTTCATGTGGTCATCTGTCTCAATTACTGCGTTTTGGGACCTCAACACCGGAATCGTATGTAACCACAGAGGATTTTAGGATGCTCTAAAGAGTTTTGCGATATGCATAGCTCACATTTCCTTCGAAGCCTATTAGCCTCGCGCTTACACACCTTCCGTTGCCACTTCAATTCCTTCAGGTTTTCAGGACTCTGTTTGTCAATAATGTCTCTACACCTTTTTTCACCTCTTAAACGCCATTTGTAGTTTGCGGTTTTTCCACGGCGGACAGTTGCTTGTTTTCCTTCGTCTGAGTGGACAGTTTAGATTAATGATTGTTTTAACCAGTGAGCTGAACCTGCTTCGGTAGTCGTTAACTGTTCATTGCAATGTGGTTATCCAGGGTGTTGCCGACACTTGCGTTTGAATGCTGACAAAATTCCCCTTCCAGTTATTTGTCTCCAATTGTTCAGGTGAATCAGGTTGAGAGAACATGGAATACTCGAAGAGCATCACAATATGACCACTAGCACCAATTGGTAGGAAATCTTGTGCATTCAGCGCACTCCTCATCTCAAGTGAGCACTAGGTCGAGGCAATTTCAACGCTGTCCTTCCCTAACACCTATTCTGAGAGCTACACTTTGTAAAAGTAGTTTTTCTGCTTCCAATTCGAACAAATGTTATTCTAATGTGTCCGATGGAATCGAAACCGCCCAAGCTGGCTAGCTGATATTGGGGGCGTTAAAGTCCCGTATCGGTTAATAGGTTCTTGATTTTCATGAATCTGCTGCGCATGGTAGCTTTGGACTGATTTGTAGTTCGGAAATTTAGTCCTGCTACAATGCGCTGATTTGTCCTTGGTGTATGGCAGAGAATATAATACCATAGGTGCTGTTTCTGGGTGGGCCCTCCGGGGTCGAACACGTAGGCATTGACTTACGAGCGCCTTCGGATAACCGTTGCGCATAAATTGGCTGCGCGGATATCGGACGTCACGCGCTTTTTCTCTCGGGTTGATGCAATGCATCTGAATCCGTTGGAAGAGTCTCCACACAGCTTCTATTGTGAGCCACCGGGTGGCTGCTGTGACGACTGAGAAGCTAGGCAGTGTTCGTCACCTTCATGCAGACCGTTCTTTCTATTTCACCATCTTAAACTGACGAGCACATCGAGGAAAAGCAACTGCTGTTCTTTTTCTTCCTCCCCTGTGAATTGTATATATGGGAAGATTGAGTTTAGTAGATTATAAAAGTTGTGCAGCATGTTTTTTTGAGGATGACAAGCGGTTCTTTCAAGTAACGCCGCTAATTTCATTTTTCGGCATCCCGAATCCAAAAGTTCCCCATGTCAAGGCTGCGAAGCTGTCTTTTCTTTCACAGGTTTGGCTGCAAAGCACACACGTACGAATAGCATAGCAAAGTATACACCCCAAATGACGGAATATTACAAAACGTAAAACTCAATTAACTCATAAGACGTCGTGGACTGCCAACGGAAGGGTTTTCTGTCGATAACTGAACCTGTAGCAGTGGAGCTGTTTTTGCGAGCAAGGTACATAAGAAAACCAAGTCGGTCATGAAAACGAAAGGAATAAGTCTAACTTAGGTTTTCCCTTAGGTGTGTTTGTACGCCTTTTAGGTCTATAATTAGAATCCTAGATAATACGCGTCTTTTCGTCTGTTGAGATTCCAACATCGATAAAGCGGACGGATAGGTAAATGCGAGGCGAGAGGAAGATGTGATTTCCCAAATTTCCAGTGGTATGTCAATAAAGAGTCCACGAGGAAGGCAATCTCGCGTCCACCTATGATTTATGCATTGTGGGCTGCGACGCGCCTTAATTGCAGTTGCACAAAGGTGCTTAGTATTGCAATTCGACCTACCTATTAACAATAAGTAGTAATGTAAGCGAAAATTACAAAGCGAGCTCTTTACTCATGCTTTGTGTGAAGGGAGGCTGTGGTTGGTCCACCGTGGTAGTCCACCGAGCTGGCGGACAATCCGTCTAAGTTTGGTTGACGTTGCCATCGGTACGCCCAACCGAGATCGACTTAGGGCCGACAAGCCGGCTCAGTCCATTTCCAAGGAAGTTTGAATTTGGCTAACACCTCGCACTAGACATGTTTACTGCGCACATGTGCCGTGCGCCCGAGTTACTTGACCGGTCAATTGCCCAATTAACTTGGATTCGCATTGACATCAAAGGGCTCAGCATTCATCAACCAACACCACAACCACACAGAACATCGTGAACAATGCGCAAATGCAACCACACAGTTGCTTCTCCCTAATTCAAACATTCCCTCTACTGATATCAGTCTGATCGACTTGCACATAGTAAATTTTTTCTCGTTATCTTTCTAAAATTCTGGTGTTCTGTGGATTACTGTAGCATTATCCGCTGTTATCGTTTCAACCATGGCGTAGGCCGCAGCAATACGCAGTCGTTTTTAACCTTTGTGGTCTTTGACCGAAGCCAACTCATTTGCCTCTTGTTTTGTTCCTTTACTCTCTCAACCAAGGTCCACACGCTGATAGGCTGTTCCGATATTTACACACGCGTGTATCTTAACATTAAGCCTCCCCATTTTCAGTTTCCGTCCCGTAGAAAGGGTCTGAAAATGATCATGGCTCTATAGGGGGTGAAGGCCAATGTAGAACTGGAATAAACATAAAGTTGATTTATTCATCCGCTCATACTGTTTCCGGAATCCCCTCCCACAGCAGCCCATTACCTCATCC